CTGTCCCTCCTTACAACATGTCCAAAGTATGTCAGACGAAGCCCCAGAATCCTTGCCTCCAAGGAGCAGCCTGGTTTAACCCTCTCCAGGATGAATTTGTTTGATTTCTTGGCAGTCCATGGTACATTCAATATTCTTCTCCAGCACCCCAGCTCAAAGATATCAATTGATATATGATTATATATTATGTGATAGTATGGATTATACCTCAACATTAAGAAAACAAAAATCTTTACAACTGGACCAAGAAACAGCATCATGAAAATGGAGAAAATACTGTAAGAAAGGATTTTATTTTACTCAGACCCACAATCGATACCCATGGAAGTAGCAGCCAAGAAATCAAATAATGTTTTGCAATGGGAAGATCTTGCCAAGGGCCTCTTTAAAATGCCAAAGAGCAATAATTTCAATTTGACAACTAAAGTACACCAGACCCAAGCCATGATATTTTCAGTTGCTTCATAAGCTTGTGAAAGTTAGACAATGCATAAGAACAACCCAAGAACTGAAGCTATTGGGTTGTTGTTGTTGTGGCGGTGGTGGTGGTAGTGGTGGTGTACCGTCAAATCAGAACTGACTCATAACTGCTGCTCCAGTGAGTTTTCTGAAGCAGACAATCAAGCAGTAGAAGGTTGGCCATTTTTCTCCCATGGAGCAGCTGATGGATTTGAATCACATTATCTTTGAGTTGGTGGTGCAAGTCCTTACCATTAAGCCAGCAGAGCTCTCTGAATTGTGGTATTAGAGAGAAAAAATCAGATGTACCATGGACTTTGAAAAGAACAAACAAGCCTTGTGAAAAATGCATATGGAGTGCTCCTTTGAAGCAAGGACGATGAGATTTCATCTTACACACTTTGGGTATATTAGCAGGAGGGCCTAGTCCCTGAAGAAGGACGTCAGGCTTGGAAAAGAAGAGGGTCAATGATAAACAGGAAGGTATTCAACAAGACGCACTGACTCAGTGACTGCCACAGGCTTAAGCGTGGCAGGGTTGTGAGGCTGGCGCAGGGCAGGTCAAGATTCTGCCTGTTGTACATAGAGGTTGTTTTAAGTAGAAGCTAACTTGATAACATCTAACAAAAGCCCTCAGGAAGCTCCCCACAAAGCACCAGAAAATTTCTCTTTAGGAGAAAAAAGGACACCTCTGCGTGGTGCAGTGGTAGCATTTCTGGGGTCTGGAGACACTTCCTGGAGTGGACTGGGAGATGGGATTTAGCTAGGAGATCACCAGGTGTGCCTACAGCTGCAGAGATGGGGAGGCAGCTGGGGTGTGTGTGTGTGTGTGTGTGTGTGTGTGTGTGTGTGTGTGTTTAAGTAATTTGGCATCTTATAGACCAAAGATCAGGACCTCAACTAACCTCTCTTCTCCCTGGCCCCCGGGCTCCTCTGGTCTGGCGCAGGCACCCTCTTCCTGTGGATGTACTGGCCCAGCTTCAACTCAGCTGTGTCCAACCATGGGGATGCACAGCACCGGGCTGTCATCAACACCTACTGCTCCCTGGCAGCTAGTGTCCTCACCGCGGTGGCACTGTCCAGCCTCCTGCACAGGAAGGGCAAGCTGGACATGGTGAGCAGGGAGGGGGGTTTGGAGGCGTTTTAGGGGGCGAAGTGATGATTTCTTGTGTGCTGCCAGCAACTCCAAGAGGGAGCATTATGATACCCACCCTGAAGATGAGAAAACTGAGGCTCAGGGAGACATAATCTACCCAAACTGAACAGCTAGCTTTCAACAGAACTCGGAACCACATGCTGGAAGGATTTGTTCTGATTGAGCTGCTCCCTCCTCCAGGGTCTCGTCCCCACAGCCTTGGGTGCTGACAGCGGTTCTGAGCTGAACCCTCTCTGGGCAGTGTAGCCAAGGACATCCGCCTGCCAGGAAGCTGCTCCAGGCTTCCTCCAGGTCTTCTCAGGCCCTCACAGGTTCTTAACATCACCCTACTTTATCCATTCACACACACACAGAGGCCAGGAGGGAAGCTTTGATACTTTTTGCTCTACTGGGGAGGTCTTGGGAAACTGTGACATTGCACCCCATGGGTGCTGATAGATTATTCTATAAAAAGAAAAGCAAAAACATCAATTCTGTCTCACAGCTTCTTGTCATGGGCAGATGTGTGCTGGGCCCCTGCCCCCCGGGGTCTGTGAGGACACTGCTGAGAGCCCCTATATGCACTGGATAGCGACCTGCAGACCTTGCAAAGACTTGGTAGGGAAAGAGGGACCCACAGGCATTGCAGAGACATGGCTGGGGGGATAGAGACCTGCAGGCCTTGCAGAGACGTGGGTGGGGATGAGGCACACAGTGGGGCAGTCACACATGCCCGCATCGGAACACCTGGCTGCATTCCACACTGGCCTGCAGGAAGGACTCAAAATTGGGGCAAAGACAGGTCAGCAGAGACCGAAATCAGAACACCCTTCTGCTTGCAACCTGAAGCGAGTTAACCTCTCCATGCCTCAGTTTCCTCATCTGTAAACTCTGAAAGACAACTGTGCTTACCTCATGGGAATTATTGAGGAAACAGAATGGAGTAATCCCAACAGTCAACATCGTACAAGGTGTCAGCTGATGCTGTTGTTATTTAGAGATGTACAGGCTCTTACCGTGTGTCAGGTTCACGCATGCCAGCCCGGGCATGTATACATGTAAGGAATGTCTGGACGTGCGTGCACATGTGCACACAGCAGATGTGACCCACATGCCCAGACCTGCCTGTGTGAGTCCTCTTGTACCCTGGTGGCCGCTGTGCCAGGTCCAGGCCCTCCATGTACTCCTGGCTTGCTGAGGGAGCCCCAGGATCTCTGCCTCTGTGGAGGAGGCCGTTTGGTGCCCAGGGAGAAGGCTGACTTCCACCCCTGCCTCCTCTCAGGTGCACATCCAGAACGCCACGCTGGCAGGCGGGGTGGCTGTGGGCACCGCGGCCGAGATGATGCTCATGCCCTACGGCTCCCTCATCGTCGGCTTCATCGTTGGCATCATCTCCACCCTGGGTTTTGTGTACCTGACGGTGAGAGGCTGGGGCGGGGGCCCAGACGAGGGCCTGCAGGCTGGAGAGTGGTGGGGGCTGCTGGGGAGTGTCTCAGAATCCTGGCCTCCTGGGGGGCCTCTATCACAGCCCCCAGGTCTGAGCAGCACCCTCCCCCTCTCTCTAGCCCTTCCTGGAGTCCCACATGCGTATCCATGACACGTGTGGCATCCACAACCTACACGGCTTACCCGGTCTCGTCGGGGGCATCGTGGGTGCAGTGACAGCAAGTGCTGCCAGCGCAGAAGTGTACGGGCACGAAGGGTGAGTAGGGGCACCGTGTAGGGGAGGCTCAACCCCCTCTGTCCACCTCCATCTCTTCCTCCTCGGCATCAAGAGTATGCCGCTGTGCCCTCTGCTCTCCATTCTGGACCATTGGCTCTGCTCTTCAACCACAAGTGCCTGACAGACCATCTGAGAAGTCCATGCCCCCATTTAGCAGATTGGAAAGTTGAGGCCTGTGGAAAGTGAACCTGTGGCTCTGGTGACCACTCATATTTGTGGGGTGCAGCAGTGGTGACCTGCCTCTCTGTGGGGGCCTGACCTGCCCCTGTCTCCATCCCAGGCTTGTCCATGCCTTTGACTTTGAAGGTGTCAAGAGTAACAGGACCACAGTCGTACAGGGCTGCTTCCAGGCTGCTGGCATCTTCGTGTCCCTTGCCATGGCCCTGGTGGGTGGCTGCATCGTGGGTGAGTAGCCATGGCTGGGCTGAAGAGCTGGGGCTGCTATGGGGCTCTCTGGCCATGAGACCCAAGCATGTGACCCCAAGGTGACCCTAGTGCTCCCCAGCACCTTCTTGTCTCAGCAACCCTCACTGTGAGCCTCATACCCCAACCCAAAGACCCCAGAAGGGATTTTCCCAGGATGGAGTTTCCTGACCTCCTTATTCTTTCAGGAATCATTTTGAAATTACCGTTCTGGGGACAGCCTGCTGATGAGAACTGCTTTGAGGATGACATCTACTGGCATGTGAGTTCTGCAGACATGTCCCCTGCACAGGGGAGCTGGCTGAGGCCTGTGTTGTCCTCTCCTTCCATCTAGAAGGGTGCGCTTTCAGGGAAGTGAAGGTCTCACAGGACCCCCAGGCTTCCAGGGGGCGGTGTGCACAGACCTTTCCTATGCACTCTCTGCTGTTCCCAGGAGCAACCCACAGTTGGGCAGAAGATGGCGTTTCCTTGTGTCCCTAACGTGCTCAGTCAGCTGTATTCTAGATCACTGAATCTCTAAATTCCATCCCCAGACCCGCAGCATCAGCATCACCTGGGAACTTGCTAGAAGTGCAAAATCCCAGGCCCCAACCCAGAGCCACAAAATCCAAATTCAGAGGCAGGGCCACGGCACAACAAACCCTCTCTGGGTGATGCTGATGAAAACAGTCTCCACAAACCAATGAGTGGCCCCAGTCCTCAGTGCCCATTACCAGGGAGCCCTAAGCCACTCCATAGCCCAGGCCCCCACCCTCAGGGATTTGGGGTTCATTGTTCTGGTGCAGGAACAGTACATAAGACTTCCCCCCACCCCAAGCTTCCAGGTGATTCTAACATTCTGGGCTAAGAACCACAGTGTGTGGTATTCAACTTCAGTCTCCAGAAGAACCAGATGGAGGTCTTGTGAAAATTCCCTGTCAGCAGAGCCTGGGACTCTGCATGTGAGGAAGTCTCCTGCTGATTCTGGCACAAAACCGGAATTCCCTAATGGCCCATGGCCTTCAGTATTCACAGCAGCAGTGGGGAACTTGGGAAACACTAGCAGAGAAGCTCCGAGTAGTGGAGTGTTGTGGAGCTCCTTTTACAATGGGACACAGCCTCGCTCCCCAAGGGTAACTATTGGAGACATTGGGCTGCATTGGATGATGGGGGTGATACAAGACCCTCTTGCCGTATGTGCTGCCTCCTTAAGGTGGAGCACAGGCCTATGTGTGTGGACCCCTGGGAGGAAGGGCCACCCATTATCCCCTCTGATTTGTTTCCATATTTTAAAAACTGTATCAGAAATTTCAGTGTAATTTTAACTAATGTCTGTTACAAACCAAACAAGTGATCTTAAGTTCACTATTCTTAAATGGGGGGGGGGTAGGGTTTAAAGACCCCTGGTAGCAGAACAGTTAAAGCACTTAGCTGACAACTGAAAGGTTGGTAGTTTGAATCCACACAGCAGCTCTGCAGGAGAAAGACCTGGTAACCTCCTCCCATAAAGAAAACCTAAAAAAGACACAAAAAAAGCCTAAAACCCTGTGGGTCAGTTCTGCTCTTTCACTCGGGGTTGATGTGTTCTTATTGTGTGCCATCGAGTCACCTGAGACTCATAGCAACCCCGTGTCCATTAGCTCTGAAGCCTGCCCTGTGCTGAGCCAGTTTCACTGACTCTGACCCACCTACCCCTATTGCCCCAGTTACTGTATCAATCTGTCTCATCCGGGGTCTTCCTCTCCTGCACTGTCCCTCCACCCTTCTGAGCATGATGTCCTTCTCCAAGGACCGATCCCTCCTTGCCACGTGCCCAAAGTATGTGATGTGAGTAAAAAAATCAGTTCAGTGGTACCCAACAGCAAATGAGGGTTTTTTTCCTTAATCATAAAATAAGATGAAGCTCATTAAAGAAAATCTAGAAATAGAAATGAATTTTATTGCTCAAATTCAAAAGCACTGATAATATCTTTGGCCTATTTCTATCTATTCTTTTCCCCCTTCACATACATTTTTCTCACACAGTTCCACTATTATACACCCAATTTGGTATCCTAGTCTAACTCCCCATCTTAAGAATTTCTCAGTGTTACTACCTGCTTAATACTCTTTCTAGTTGTGTGATTATTTCCATTTTATGCTTATTTTAGACACCACCAATGGAACCACATGGGTTAAATGGTAAATGAACTAAACACTACAATGTTATTAATTCCCGTACAGAGAGGCTCACTTACTCTTGGATATCTTTTAATCTTTATACATTTTCCCAGAACTTCACACCTTCTCTCAGCTCTGGGGCCTGCAGCAGCACTTGGTTGGGAGGAATATAATTCCATGCTGATGGAAGCTCAGCACCATCTAACTGGCTGCAGCTTCTGTCCTCTCTCCATGCATTTCACCTCTGGCTGGTTTAGCTGGATGGTGAGGCTTCCCAGAAGATGAGGATGAGATAGATGTTTCCAGAGGACCACTGCTTAAGTAGTCTTTGGGATCAAGTTTAGGCCTTGATTGAGGCTAAGGCAAGACTGACTTGTACCCCCACCACCTCACCCCTCAATTAATTTTTGGCTTCCCCTGCACTACCTAGCTTTCTTTTTTACCATCTGCAATTCAGGTATCTTGAAATGCCTCTTACCACAAGCCTGGAGCATCCCATCTCTAGCCTGCTTCAACTCCTTCTCATCTGTCAAAACTGGGTTCAGCACATCCTCTTGGAATAACCCAGCCTGGGTCACCAGTCCCGTGTTTGCATTTACAGTCCTTATAGTCACTCTGCATTTTTTCAGTCGAGTGCCTCCGCGTTGCTCTGCTATGGCAGACTCTGTCTTGGTTCCTCTGTCTGGTATCCTGGACAGTGCCAGCCTGCCTGCCTGCCTTGAAGCCAGAACATGAGAAACTGGGCTGTACTGGTCCACAGCCTGCAGTCTGATCTATGAACATAAGGTGGCGCCCGCCACACATATTCCTGCTCCTGGCTTGTGGGACACATCCACCAGGGCTCCTTTCCCTGTCTTGGGCAGGAACCTCAGAGCTGCCTCTTTTCTCTGCAGACACCTGAGACACCAGAGAACCTGAACTACCGCCCTGAGGACCGTGCCCCAAAGCCCACCACATCCTAGACTTCAAGGATGGTGAGAGGCAGGTGAGCCATCAGTCTGACTTGCCCATGTGGATGGAATAAAAGGCATGTTCTTAAAAAAAAAAAAAGGCATGTTCTTCCAGGTAGGGGGTCCAAGCCTAGGAATTGGATGCCACCAGCAAAGGAGCAAAAAGAAAGCTCCAATTAATTCATTAAGAGTTTCTATTTTGGGTGATGAAAATGTTTTGGAAATACTGTAAAAAATGTCAGTTACATGGACATTGCCACATAAAGCTAAACAGAAGGTTAGAGACAGAGTGGATCAAGACGTGAAGAGGTGAACTCCTTCCTGTCTCTGCTGCTTAAGGGAGAGTGGTGGAGGAGATGCCAAAAGGCAGACACATAATAGACTAGCTCTCCTAGTTCTGCCAGAAACTGTCTGAGTCCAAACCCAAGCCCACTGCCATCAAGTTGATGCAGATGTGGCCACTCCGGTGCTCCAGAGGAGGACAGCTTGGCAGGGTTTCCTGGCTGTGATCTACGGAAGTGGATTGCCAGGCCTTTCCTCTGAGGTGCTGCTGGCTGGGTTTGAACTACCAGCCTTCTGATTAGCAGCTGAGTACAAACCTAGGGGTCTTTAGAACTCCACAAGGCAGGTGCACTTACTTCCCCCTTTTTATCAAATGAGGAAATGACAGCTGGGACAGATTCAAGCTGGCAAGTCAAGAAAGAGGTTGTTTTATAATAGCTCTGATGGCCATTTCTTAACTCCCTTGAAAGCTAGGGCTTGGAGACAGTTGGATCTGGAGCCAGAGGCCAGAGAGAATGTTGAGAGTAAAGGGAAGAAAAGAACAAGGCCAGTAACTTCTAATGGTCACACCTGGAAAGGCTGCACTTGGCAGGACCCAGCAGTGCCCGGCTGCTCTCGGCTCTCTCCCTGCAGGGTCAGTGGGCTGCTGCCTCGGATCTCTGGAAGTTGCTGGTATTGATCTAACGAGGAGCTCAAGAGAAAAGTCAGCACAAACCTGCAGCCTTCTCCCTTTCCTCCAAGGAGGTTGGCCTGAGAATGGAGGAGAAGCTGCTGTCACAGTGGAGGTCCACCAGGTTCTAGCTGCAGAAAGCCTGCTGCCTAGCGAGAACAGCTGGCCTGGAGTGGAGCTGGGTCCCAAGGCGAGATTGGAATTCTCAGAGGGAACAACCTAGCTGCCAGCCACTGTCTGCTGGGCTCTTCTACCCTCTGCCTGCCCCTCAAACAGTACCTCCCGTGCCCTGTGCCACACAGATGGGGGCCTCTGTGAATAAAGGCCTCTATGTTCTTTGTAGATTGTGTATAACTATTCCACTAGAGGTGGTTTGCATACCAGAAGGACACCAGAGACCTCCAGCCCTGATATCCTTTACACCACATACACGCTGCCACCTGTCCAAGGCCAAAGAGGAAGAATCCAGGATCCTAGAACCTACCTCTAGCCAGGACCCTTGTCAGGGCTTAGCTTCTGTGATGAGGTCTTTTTGTTTAAAAAGTGGAAAAATGATGATGTTTATGAAAGCAGATCACCAGGACTTTCTTCCAAGGTTCTGCTAGCTAAGCTTAAACTTCCAGCCTTCCTTGCCTTGTAAAGATCCACAGCCTTGGGCACAGCCCCAACAAGAGTTCCCAAGAGGGGAGAGGCTGCAGCAAGCATGCCTGGACCCTCACCCATGTGCCCTCCTTGCGACCTGGTGACCTGGTTCCTAGTCTCAAGGGCACTTGGGAAGGGAGGGAGTTAGGCTCTTTCAGACCAGCACCCCTTCCCCAGCCCTTTCTTCCGCCCTTCAAGCCTCTCCCTCCACAGTGGTGTGTGGCTTCAACAGTCAAATCAACACCTGCCCAGACTCCATGCCTGTTACTCCCTTAAGTAACACAGGGCTGCTCCCAGGGGGCTCACAGTCTGTCTGGGGACATACTCAGTATCCATCGTGAACTCTGCCAGGTAGGGCTGAAAGGCACACTCGGTCCGTCCCCCCCCTCCCCCCGACCTCAGGTGGCCCCACCAAAGCAGGACATTTTGAGCAGGGTTGGTTTTTGGGTTTTTTTGTTTGTTTGTTTGTTTGTTTTTTGAGGAGGCTGAATAGGAGTTTACCAGGATAGCAAAGGGATAGCATACTGACAGAGACTCGTGGACAGAAAGCAATGTGGTGAGGCTGGAAGAAAGATGAACAAGTGTGACAGATGGCAAGAAAATAAGATCGAGAATAAGACACAGAAGTCTTTACGAAGCGAAGACTCCTGGGAAGAAGAGGTGAGGAGAAAAGGAGGGGACGGCCTCTCCTGCCTCCACCCCTTTCACCCTCCACCCGAGTCCCCTCAGTTCACACGCACAGACACACACTCGGGGCTTCCATTGCTCTTTACAGAAGAGGGGGCCAACCAACAGGAGGGAGGAAGGAAGGAGGGAGCTGAAATGCAACCTATTCATGTTCCCGCGATGCAACACCCCTCATTTTCCATGCTGGGTAAAGACAAAAACCCTTTACAACCTGTTTCTGGAACTTGTCAGCAGCTGCCAAGAGGAGCATGTTAATTAAACGTCGGCAAAGATGGAAGCCGGAGGCCCCGGCTCTAATTGGACAGTTTGCTTCCCCGGATTGAAAAACATTGTGACAAAGGAGGAGGTGCGCGGCGGCGCGGCAGGGTTGCGGCGTGGCGGGGCGGAGCGGCGGCTTTGATTTCAGCTGATCCTCCCGCCGCCTCCCCCGCCCAGCCCCGCGGGAACGCCCACCGGGCGGGAGGGGGTGCTCGGGGCCTGGGGTCCCCGGTGCGTGCGGATCGACCCCAGATCCCTCCAGTCATCCGCGAGCCATCCTAGAGCGCCGAGGGCGGGGCGAGGCCTCACGTGACCCGGACCATGGGCGCTGTGCGGGAGGGCACCAAGGACAGGGGTCAGCCAGCGCACTCCGGACAATGTTACAGCCCCAGCTCCATGCCTCTCGAGGATGACATCCTGGTCTTGGCCCTCGGTTCCCAAACCAGCTCTTGAGGTCTTAATATTGCCATTGGCCACTGGGCTAGCCTGTCTTAAAAACTCAGCTGTGAAGATCCTGGTTGGGGCCCCACAAGCTCAGCAGAGACTGTCCTTCCTGCTTGCTGCTTACGGGTCCTGAGTGCGTCCCACACCCTGTTATCCCACCTCCCCAAACTCTGAGTGAACAGCTCACAGTGGCATTCTACAGGTGAGGAGACTGAGGCTCAGAAAGCCTTAAGTTCCCACCCAGGGCATAGTGCTCTTAAAGGTGATGCTGGGGTGAGCCAGCTTCCTTCCGTCTCACCGACTCTGATTCCTGAACCGCTTGTTGGGGCTTACAGCCCAGCCCCGCTGTCCAGAGATGAAGTTCTTCATGACAATTGGAGAAAAAGATACCCACCTCCTCTGCCATCAAGTCAGCTTGGACCATGGAGACCCTCCATCACGTTTCCAAGGACCAGCTGGTGACTTTGAACTGCTGACCATTCTCTTAGCATTGCAAGATGTAACGCACCATTCCGCCAGAGCTCCTTAGAAAAAAAATGATGGGGTCCTGAGTGGAGCCCTCTATGCTGAAGGTCCCAAAAGATAGGGATGTTTCAGGGTCATTCTGGAAGGCCCCATGCAAATCCACCACCACCCACAGACTCAAATTCTCCTCAGAAGTAGAGACCTTTAGCAAAGCCTCTTCTGTCCCTACCCCATGTCTGTATCTTTGTCCCTGGCATCAACTTTGTCCATCACTTCTGTCCCATCCCAAGCTGCTGCTCTTGGGGGGCTAAAGGCCAGGCTGGAGCCTGTGAAAGGCAGGAGCAAGTATGGGAAAGGAGCCATTGTGGGTCAGCTCAGGGGATTTAGAGCTACAAATTGGATGTGAAGGGCTGAGGCCATTGACCGCAGCCCCTTGAGCTGAGTTCCCAAGGGGGGGGGGCTGCCACCGCAGCCTGTGTCTAAGCGGGGCCAGGCTCCCTGCTGGGCCCAATCCTCTGGGAGCTGGGAACCCTGAAAATGTGGCTGCTCTGGAAAGAGGACCACTACTGAGCTCTGAGCTGAGGGAGCCGAGGTGCACGGGCCTGGACGCCTGGCCACCTCACATTGTCAGGTGGTGGGGAGGGGTCCCACGGAGGTATTTTGTAACTTCACACTGGGTGTGCACGTGTGTGCCTAACTTGGACATATGTCTGTGTGAATCTCCCTGAAGATGAGCAGCCCAGTGTGTTGGGGGCAGTGTCAGTCCCTGTGTGTGTCTGGGGTTTGGGATGCATCTTGGAGAAAAATGAGGCCTGAGGGTGGTAGTTGGGATGGTTCCAAGGCCCCTGGCCGAGAGAATACAGCATGGTGAGGGAGTGGGTGCTCTGTGTGTGTGCTTGCATGCACGCACGATCACGTTCGAGTGGGGTGCTTGAGAAAGGCCCTCCAGAGGCGGCTGGAGGGGGCTCTGCAAATTGTAATCAGATTAAGGGGACCAATCACTTAGGGCTCTTGAAAAGGCCACAAGGTTTCTAATCAGCCCAGAGCTCTGGGCCCCCGCATAGCCTGGGAGGAACTCGGCAGGAGCTGCCCACTGGGGGGCCTGAGAGAGGGGGGTGCCTTTCTTCCCTCTCTGTCTCTGGTAATTATGTCAATTTGCTAGCCAAATTGTTTGCTCAAGTGGACAGGGGGGCTTGTGCCCCATTCATGTGGTAATGTGGGAACCAGCAGGCCTCCTGGCTGGGAAAATAGGAGGTACTGGGACCCTTCTCTTGGGAGCAGGCAGGCCCAGGGAGTGTGGGGCACCCAGGCCTTGGGATCCCCGCTCCCAAACAGTGTGAGGCCTGTTTTCCATGAATTTCAGAAATTTCCGGCATGATTTGTGCTCTGGGATGTTCTGTCAGGTCTGCTGAGGTGAGGGATGAGGAGGGAATGAAGGAGCCCAGAGAGGGGGCTGGACAGAAGAGGTGGCAGCAGGTCCCTTCAGACGAAGTGAGCTCTGGTGGACAGGCTGAGGCTCTGTAGGAACATGGGGACTGGGACAAGAGACTGGTCCCGAGGATTG